ATTGTTAATCTTGATAAATTTTATATAAAAAATTAGTTCAAAATGCATTTAATAAATTGTAGATAAAAATGATTTAAAGTTTTGCAAGTGCCGTACACAGGCACTAGTACCTGTTCAGCACTTGTAGAACCTCCTACTTACTTTCAAAAAATAGAGAGGGTTTTCATTAGAACCAGACAAGGACTTGAGTGCAACAATTCCAGGTTCACGTACTCTTCTATTACCATCAATTCTTCGTATACCATCCAACCAAAATGCTGAAAATACAGAACCAAATCCCCTTACCAATCTCTTCAATATTATTTAGTTTATCAAAAGGAATTCATTCAATCACTTTCTCATACGAATTAGCTCTAAGTTAAAAGTCTTTCAAACAGTTATCAATATCCTTATTTCTACTTGTCCATCCTTGAATTGTATTGTTGGGAGCACATGTATTACACCATGCATTATTCGTGTTGTTTTCATTACAATATTCACAATTTCCATATTTAGAATCACTTCAAAATTTTAAAGATTGGTTATTTATGCGATTTTTAAGCTAAAGAACCTCCTCCATAATGTATTCCCTAAAGGCATTCTTATAAGAGTAAACGAAAAAGGATAGTATAATGAAAATGAGATGCATTTTTGGATCAACAATGTTTGGTGCAAATGTAGTGAGCTGGTGAGACCGCTGCAATCACTTCTCATTTTGGACTCCTTTAGGGGTCATATAATGGATTCTGTTAAATATTAATTCAAAGAAAATAACACTCACATTGCAGTCATTCTGGGAGAATTAACTAGTAAATTACAATCCCTAGATGTTGCTATAAATAAGAGTTTCAAGAGTAAGGTATATACATCAAAATGTCTTGATCTGTTTTGAGTATACAAAAATATTAACATATTCAATTTTTTAGGTACGACGTCACTATGAAGAATAGATGGCTAGTACAATTCATCAATTGACCCTAGCTGGATGCCTTCGGAAGCCATCATATGCTACTCTTGCACAATGGGTAATGGATTCGTAGGATGAGGTTGACCCTCACTTAATCATAAGATCATTCAAGTATTGTGGTATTTTGGTCGAGATAGATGGGATGGAGGATGATATGGTCTTCGACTATGAATCATTGAGTGAGAATCTAACAGGTAAAAATGATGAGAATTTCGAAGTAGTAAATCTTGATAATATTAATGGCAAAGAATATGAAGAAGTACCAGTAGAAGTTAGTAGTAATAATGTTTGAGAATAATCATAGAATTCTAGATTTTTTTTTTTTTTTTGTTAAATTCGATTTTTTTTTTTGATCAATTTTTTTTTTTTAATCTATTTTTTTTTTTTTTTTTAATTTGTTTTTTTTTTTTTTGTTTTTTTTTTTTTTTTTTTTTTTT